TGTTCAAAGCTGGAAAATAGCATCCAAGTGCTGAAACTATTTGGGGGACAGTCTCCTGGAGACCTGCGGTAAAGTTCAGATTAAAACCCAGAACAGATACACGGCCCCTGCAAAACCAGAGGTCATCAAACTTCACTGTGTAGCAACAGCCGTTGTACAGAAGCAAAATATTCCTGTCTCTGCAAGAACCCTGCAGGATCACAGAGAGAAGTTCACGAATACCCGCTAGCAATAGAACACGAAGGACTCTGTTCCAGCCTATGCGCTGAGTGGAGAAAAGTCCAGGTATCTCTATTAAAAAGGAACCAGTATTAACAAACAAAACCCTATCTTTGTATGAGAGACCATGGAAGGTGGTCCTAGCGGTAAACACGAATATAAGTCAATACTGGACCAACTCATCACAATGATTCCTTATGGGCTCCACATCTTATGTAAACAATACCTTTTATATAATACTGTGCAACCATGAGAGCTAGAGACTTAAGACATTTTTTTAAAGGATTGTGTCAAAAGTTGCCAGAGGAATGGAACTATCCTCTACAGCGTTCTTCTCTTCTGGATTACCATTGTCGTCCATGAGAGCTTTTCTTTTCTAGGAAGGGCACAAAATCTATTGTGGTAACACACAAAGATTTGTGCTTTCCATTTTATCCATTTCCTGCTGGTGTACAAACTGCTAGAAAGGAATTCAGGGCGTGATCACACAGGGAAATACGCTGGGAAGGATCATGGTAGGATGATACAGGTTGCTCATCGGTCAGTCAGGAGGTGAGACCGCCCAGTTTCCTCTGAAGGAAACCACGACCTTGTGGGCAGCTCAACAAAATGACAAGCAGGGTTCCTCTGAAGTAATGTTAACAATGTCAACTTCTCTGGTTCTGTTGATTAGGAGACAGGAATTTGTGACAACTGAAGCTGGATTCTACCAAATGTCTCCTGAACCCAGGACCTTGTTTCTCACTGGCCTGCTAAGGTCCCAAAGAAAGTCACGGACCCAACAGTTCTTTCTCTGCCTGTAATGTCTCAGCAACTGGTAGCCAAAGATATATGGCCTTCAATACTGGAAGTAACTGGCAACCTCTGATAGCCCCATCTTTCCCGAATATATCTTAAACCCCCCCCCCTTAAACTGTCCTAGAAATGGCCATCACTACACCATGTGGTAACAAACCCACAGAACAGTAGGACCCCCGTATCTGCAGAATCGGTATCTATAGTTGCACTTATCTGCAATCTGAAAATATTTTAAAATATTAAATTTTTTTAAAAAACCTAGAAATACAGTACATATTTCCACTATACAATTACCAGAACTGGCCACTAGAGGGAGCCAGAGACCATGCTATCTACAGCAGTCACGAGAGAAAATGTACAGTGGTGCCTCGCTTAACAAGCGCACCGTACAATGATGAATCCGCATAGCGATCCCCTTTTCGGGATTGCTAATGAGGAGGCATACCGATTGTTCCGATGGGCAAAACTCGCATAGCGACGATCGGTAAGCGTTTCGCTTACCGATCTTCGCTTTGCGATGCCCATGGATCAGCTGTTCGGCAGTTCTAAAATGGCCGCCGGACGCCCACAATGGCCACGCGCAGCGTTTTAGCGCCCTCCCCTCGCTTACCAAGGGCGCGAAAATGGCTGCTGCTATGGAGGAAACTTCGCTGAAAGGTAGGTTTAGGGCCCATTGGAAATGGGTTTTTATGATCCGTTTAGCGATGTTTTCACATAGCGAGGGTTAATCCGGAACGGATTAACCTCGCTATGTGAGGCATCACTGTATAGGATTTGTTATAATCCATGGTTTTCGGCATCCAGTAGGCAGGACTTGAAACCAATCCTCTATGGATTCAGGGGCCACAAGAAGAGCCCTGCTGGATCAGGCCAAGAGCCCACCTAGTCCAGCTTCTTGTATCTCACAGTGGCCTCATCAGATGCCTCTGGGAAAACACAAGACAACGAGATATAACTGTCTCCTGATCCCCCTCTCCTGCATCTGGCCTTTGGAGGGACCTTCCTTCTAAGCCTGGAGATTGTACATCCCCATCATGGCTTGTCACCTGCAATGTACCTTTCCTCCAGGAATCTGCCCAATCCCCTTTGAAAGGCACCTAGATGCCAGATGCCATCACCACATCCTGTGCCCAAGAGTTCCACAGACTAACCACATGCTAGGGAAAGAAATCTTTTCTTTGGTCTGTTCTCACTCTCCCCACACTTCATTGGAGTGGATGCCCCTGGTTCTGGTTTTGCGTGAGAGGGAAAGGAGCTTCCCTCTCTCCACTTGATCCATCCCCTGCATCGTTTTATACCTCTCAATCATGTCCCCCCCTTCAGGCACCTACGGGTCCTATTGTATTAGTAAACCCAATGTGCAGACATTTGCTTGCAAGACCTGAACAGGATTATGACAGATTTTACAGGGTCACTGTAAATCGGAAGAAAACTCATGGTACGTAACAACACCAACACATGAAGAAGGACCACCTTGGAGCAGTCCTGGGTTTCCAGCCACGACACTCCACTGGATAGTGTCAAATTCCGGTATTCTGGCCAAAGGAGGAGCCTTCTTCCCAGGCTGGAGAGCTGTCTCTGTCTGGGGAACCAGAGGTTGGGGGTTCGATTCCCCCACTGGGCATCCTCGAGAGGGGCCACTGAGAATCAGGAATGCATCATCCTCCTTTCAATGAGCTTGGAAAGCCAATCTCCTCTACATGTCAGAGTTTCCCCATACATTTGTTCCACTCAACTGGCCTCTTTCTTCCGTAATCCGCCCTACAACCCATTCTTACTGGGAAAAACTCTTCAGGGTGGATATTATTTCATTTTTCCTCTGCTTTCTCCCCCCCCCATCCCCAAGACGATGTATAGTTGCAACGGCACAACCCAGCAATCAATATCAAGCGCATACAAGGGAGGACCCCCTTTCCTCCCATCTCACCCACAGCAGGATTCTCCTTCATCACCCCTTCATCGTTAGCATCTTCTTCTGCCACCGCCCTCTCATCTGCCACACTGCAAAATGAGCCGTTAACAAAGACACCCATGTCACCCATTTTCCGGCAGGCAAATGACCCCGCGACACGCAGCCATGGAAAACCATTGTTCTTAAGGCACCGATCACTAACTCTGTGCCGTCAGGTTGATCCCAAGTTCGCAGTGGGACCAACGTATTCATTGTGGAACAGTTCCAAGTCCGTCCGTCCCCCCGGCCAATGGATGTCAGAAATAGTGGATAATTGAAGCACTCCTAATTTCTTACGTGTCCATGCACGGTTGAGAGAGAGGGAGCCCAGGCCCAATCTTGCCAAAGGATGGGGTTATCTGCCCTCCTGACCCCAAGGGAGACTCTTCTGAAACCTATAACTGTTGCCTCCCCAACCCAAAGGTGGCTTCTATAGAAGCTGCATTCCTCAGAGACATCAAAACCGCAAGTGCATTTCCCCTGAGCTACCTGTGGGTGGTGGTTAAAGGGATGTGGTGGCGCTGCGGGTTAAGCCACAGAAGCCTCTGTGCTGCAAGGTCGGAAGACCAGCCGTCATAAGATTGAATCCACGCAAGGGAGTGAGCTCCCGTCGCTCGTCCCAGCTTCTGCCAGCCTAGCTGTTCGAAAGTATGTAAAAATGCAGGTAGATAAATAGGTCCCACCACGGTGGGAAGGTCATGGCATTCTGTGTCTAGTCGCGCTGGCCACATGACCACAGAAATGGTCTACTGACAAACGCTGGCTCTATGGCTTGGAAATGGGGATGAGCACCGCCCCCTAGAGTCAGACACGACTGGACTCAATGTCAAGGGGAACCTTTACCTTTACCTTGCCTGTGTATAGCACTGGTTCTTAACCTTGGGTTACTCAGGAGTTTTGGACTGCAATTCCCAGAAGCCTTCACCACCAACTGTGCTGGCTGGGGGTTCTGGGAGTTGCAGTTCAAAAACATCCAAGTAACAAAGGTTAAGAACCACTGGTGTATAGCATAATCTCTGGGGCCATCCAGTGGCCAGAACTAGATGGAATATATACCGTATTTCTGGATTTGATTCTTTCTTTTTTTTTTTCAGGCGATGGATAAGCGAAATCATGGGTACTGATCCCGAAGATAAGGTGGATCCTATTGTATAGCAAATTTCCCAGTCCTCAGTCCTGGTTTACCAATTCCACCCCCACCCCCAAATCTGGTGTTGCTCAGGGTCTGGGCAACTTGCTGAAGGACCACTGGCCGCACACACACACCCGCCAGGGGATGCGGGCTGGCCTCTGTCCTGGAAAGCAGAGCGAGGATTCAAACTCCTGACTCTGGCTCTCCCGCCACCGAGCTACGCTGGCTTCTTAAGGGACGAGGCGCTCTCTAGTTGCAAATCCACTGAGTTATCTGGTGCCGAACCCGTTTAGTCCTGCACTCTTAACATGGGTCTTCAGCATACCCACTGCAGCTGACCTCTTGCCATCCGTATTTCTAACCTGATTAAAAGGTGATCTGTTTTGACAGAAGAAGAAAAAACACCCACAAGGATTCGACAGGTCTGACACCAGTTAAGCGTATGCAGTTAAAAGGCAGACGGGGAAAAAGAGTCACATTTGATGAAAAAATCTTTACGCCTTCCTTAGCCGGTCCCTGGTGACCGAGGACTGACCCTTTTGTGAACATCAAACAGAACTGTTTCTTCCTCGGGTTTTCTCTGTTCTTGCCAGAACTTGAAGGAGATGAAAAGGACGGATGCTTTGATAGAAAAAAACAGGATGACTTTTTCGGAGGTCCCTGAGATACAGCCCAGCTCGAAGATGTCCTTCCTGCATCTGGAAGGAGGACCTCATTTCTGGAAAGTCTTTGGCCCCACCAAGCTGCTCGTCGGCATGGAGTCAGCTGGCCAGTCACGTCTCCGTTGGATGACAAAACATCCTCTTTTGCCCTTCTCTGTGGCTACTCCTTTAGACTCTGGAACTCCCTGCCACTGGAGGCTCGCCTGGCCCCATCTTCACTTCCAGACAAAGACCTTTCTCTTCAGGCAAGCTTCCCCTCAGTGAGTGGCTGCCTGAATGGCTTTTTTAATGGATTGTTCTACCCTCCTGCATTTGAATGTGCTTTTGGTGTTGTTTTTGTTTACTATTTTTAAAATATGGCATTTGTTTGATCCTTTTTAGTATTTGCATACGGTAGGATCGTGGTATGCACGGGGGATCGGTTTCCAAGCCCCCTTCCACAGATGCCAAAAATGCAGAATTATCGAACATATGTACATTGCATGGTCTCTGCCTCTCTCTAGTGGCCAGTTCTGGTAAATACGCACTGAAAATACATATCAATACATATTTATGGGTGGGTTTTGCTTAGTATTTTCAGCTGATGAGTGAATCAGCTGATACGTGAATCAGCAGATATCGATCCCGCAGATACGGGGGTTCCTGCTGTCCTTACTATTTTTAGCTTTAGATATTGTCTTTTAATTGTTGTGAGCCACCTTTTAAGGAGAAAGGTGGGTAAAAATAAATAAAATAAAGAGTGGAGGCTTCCCCACTCCAGGGGGGAAAGGATGGGATGGGTTGACCCACCCCCAACCCCCCAAGGCTACAGTCAGCCTACCTGATCTGGTCTTCTGCCTCTCTCCTCTGCCGTGCCGATAAAATCCGGAGGGACTCCGACTCTGCAGCTCTAGAATGGGAGCGGCAGAATCTTCCACAGCAGACAAAGGGGACTGGTGCCTGCGGAGGCCACTCTGCGTGCTGGGACACTTGGCTCCCGACTTGCATCGGACGACAGAGGATCGGGAGGCGCCTGAGAAGAGAGAGGTTGCATCAGTTTGGTGGGTAAACCCCTGGGGGGGGGGAAATAGGGGATCGGATCCCTGGGGAGAGGGGGAGGGCCTATAGAGCTCGGGAAAGGGGCTTTGCGGGACTACAATGCCCAGAATCCCCCAACCCGCATATGTGTTAGTCTAAGACTACGGATTCATCTCTTGTTGGCCCAAGCAAAACCACGCCGGTGCCTCCTCACTCCACAGCCAGGACACCTTTTGTGGGGCCGACCTCGCCACCAAGATGACCACGTGCATGCGGGAAGGGGGTGCCTGCCCATGTGGTTTCAAGATTTCTCTTCCACTCTACGTTTAGGAAAAAGCATCAGAGTCTGCCTTGCAAGATCTGAAC